TTGGACCATTTTAGTGGTAAATGGAAAGTGTGGATTTTGTTTGGCCCATCCACTCAGGAAGTGAGTGTTCGTGTTTCCTGACTGACCCGCTTACCCAATGCGAAAGATCCTGCCAGATAGTAGTGGCTCCACGGATTGCATTGCGATTTGGAGGGCCCCCCCATTTTGAGCAACCTGGCCAAATCCTCAGAAGAGCCACAATCAAAACCCGGGTAGATGAAGGTTCGTAAGACGATCCCAATTATAAATAGTTGCGGCCGCCTGCTCAATTCTTTACGTGGTTCTCGGTAGACCATTTTGATACCGGCTTTTGATTATGACTCAGATTCGGTTCCTTCTGCTCACAAAAAAAACAGAAAGAAAAAAGAAACTCGCGCTGCGCACCTCCACCGCAGGCCCTGCGGTCAACCGGGCGGCACCGTACGGCAGCTTCAACTTGCAGCAGGTCCTTGGCTCGGCGTCGCATTCTCGTCCTCTCTTGTTTCGCTTTAAAGAGACAAAAACGAGTGTATGAATTTCCAGGTTTCTGGCGTTCTGAAACATCGCACGTATTTGAGGTTCACGTGACGTCCGAGCAACTAACCGTTACTCCATACGGTTCTGCCTCTGTTCTGAAACAACACGAGGGTTTCACATCTTACAGCTCACCACATGTCACCCTCAAACCAGCGGGGAGGCCCACGCCAGGCGCCCGGGATGCGACCTGAAAAAGAAACCCACCACTCGAAGACTCCAAGAAGGAGCCTCTCATCTTGGGAAGGGGGACTGTGAACTGCGCAACCAGCCCCCACTGCCCACACTGCAATGGGAAAAATGTGCCCTGTTCAATACAGCTTGCGCTGGTTTGGTGTGACATAACTCAAAAACCTGCCACAGGTAAGCTCAGGACAACAAGGCGATGAGTCAGCATGACTCTAATTGGTGGATTAGTGGCTTGGTGGTTAAGGAGGGGCTTCCCATTTACCCTCCACAACAAGCAAGGACCCGTTCAAATCCCAAACCACCAATCCAAACCATCAGTTAAGGGACACCTGCTTGACTGCTATTGGGTTGGATCTACAGACTTCACCTTTTTTACCCAAACAGCGAAGCATTGGGGTTCTAACTTGAGGTATAGAGAATGGGAAAGTGTGACGCCGATTCCGGGGTCCTGTTTTCTGCTTGTCTTCGTGTCTCCCAGTCTCTCCGGTCAGATGCCAGATGCTGTGACGCCGGCTCCAGGGTCGTGTCTCCCGCTTGTCCCTGCGTCTCCCAGTCTCTGCGGTCAGATGCCAGATGCTGTGACGCTTGTCTCCCTCTGTCTGCCAGTCTCTGCGGTCAGATGCCAGATGCTGTGACGCCGGCTCCGGGGTGGCTTGTTTTTCTGTCTCCCAGTCTCTGCGGTCAGATGCCAGATGCTGTGACGCGTCTCCCGCTTGTCTCTGCCTGTGTCTCCCAGTCTCTGCGGTCAGATGCCAGATGCTGTGACGCCGGCTCAGGGGTCGTGTCTCCCGCTTGTCTCCCTGTTTCCCAGTCTCTCCATTCAAAGGCCAGATGCTGTGACGCTGGCTGCGAGGTCGTCTCCCGCTTGCCTCCCTGTGTCTCCCAGATGCTGCGACGCTGGCTGCGGGGTCGTGTCTCCCGCTTGTCTTTCTGTGTCTCCCAGTCTCTGCGGTCAGATGCTAGATGTCGTGTCTCCCGCTTGCCTCCCTGTGTCTCCCAAGGTTTTTGTGGTTAGATGCCACATGCTTTGACGCTGGCTGCCGGGTCGTGTCTCCTGCTTGTCTCCCTGTGTCTCCCAGTCTCCGCGGTCAGACGCCAGATGCTGTGACGCTGGCTCCGGGTCGTGCCTCCTGTCTCCCAGTCTCTGCGGTTGGCTGTTTGTTTAATGCTTACAGCCCTCAACAGGGTCCCGGGCTAAACCAACTGAAGCTGCTTCTTCTTTGCGGGTTTTGGGGCTGACCTTGCTTGCTGCCAGCTGGCTGTTTTCCTGCTTACAGCCCCCAGCAGGAAAAATGAAGGTCCGGGCAAAACCAACTGAACCTGTTTCTTCTTACCCAGTTTTGAGGCTGACCTGGCTTGCTTGGCATCCAGTAACCGGCGTTCGGCTCCCTTCGGCTCCCTTCGGCTCACGTGGCAGCAGCTCGCAAGCGCAATTGAGAAGCATCAAGCTAGAAACATAGATTCGACAAGTCAGCAGGAACCACTTGCAACAATGCTTCGCAACGGGGAAAGGGCATGTCGCAGATTTTGCTGTTAGCCTGTTTGCAAAGGATGTGCCTCTCTCTTGGCCCAGCGCAGGTTTGCATCCTTGTGGAGCATCGTTGGAGCTAGAAGCAAGCAATGTCGAGCCTTATTTTTCTCGATAAACAAGCAAATCGTGACACCCGGCTGATTGCTTTGCTCTCCTTTTTAGAAGCCAGTGCCGCACTTCTTGGTCATGTGCAGGTTTGCATCCTTGTGGCGCACCAGCAGGGCCCTGTCGAGCCTTTAATATGTCTATGTTTCTCGATAAAAAAGCAAATGTATAGTGACATCCCACTAATTGCTTTTTGGAAGCCAGTGCCACACTTCTTGGTCAAGTGCAGGTTTGCACCCTTGTGGTGCATCAGCAGAGCCCTGCCGAGCCTTAAATATGTAGACTGGTTTTGATAGACAAACACGGCGGACACAGAGCTGCTTTTTGGAAGCCAGTGCCGCACTTCTTGGTCAAGTGCAAGTTTGCATCCTTGTGGCGCATGCTGAGCTCGAGCCTTAAATGCTTGGTCCAGTGCAGGTTTGCATCCTTGTGGCGCATCAGCTGAACAAATACCGTGACATCCGGCTGATACTGAGCTGCTTTGTGGAAGCCAGCGCCGCACTTCTTGGTCAAGCGCAGGTTTGCATCCTCGTTGCGCATCAGCAGGGCCCCTGTGTCCATTTTTCTTGATAGCCAAATATACATCCGCCTGATTGCTTTGCTCAGGATTCTCAGCTGCTTTTTGGATGCCAGTGCCGCACTTCTTGGCCAAGTGCAAGTTTGCATCCTTGTGTGGCGCATCAGCAGAGATCTGTCAAGCCTTAAATATGTACTTTTGTTCTCGATAAACAAATACCGTGACATCCGCCTGATTGCTTTGCCCAGGATTCTGAGCTGCTTTTTGAAAGCACTTCTTAGCCAAGTGCAGGTTTGCATCCTTGTGGCGCATCAGCAGAGCTGTCGAGCCTTAACTCTGTATATTGTTCTCGATAAACAAATATACCGTGACATCTGCCTGATTGCTTTGCTCAGGCTTCTGAGCTGCCTTTTGGAAGCCAGTGCCGCACTTCTGAGTCAAGTGCAGGTTTCTGGCGCATCAGCAGAGCCCTGTCGAGCCTTCCAACAAGAAAGGGTGCTCGAACTACAGTGATGCTACCAAGAGGAGACTAGAAGATGGGTGGCCCGAAAGCATTAGCGCGCGGCGCCAAGTAATCCTAGCAAGTTCTCTGCGCAAGTTCCTCTGAGCAAGTTGTTGGCGCGAGTTCCTTTGATCAAGTTCTCCAGGCAAGTTCTTGGCACAAATTATCTGAGCAAGTTCTCTCAGCAACTTGAATCCTGAGCAAAGCAATCAGGCGGATGTCACGGTATTTGTTTATCGAGAACAACAGTACATATTTAAGGCTCGGCAGGGCTCTGCTGATGCGCCAGAATGCAAACCTGCACCTGACCAACAAGTGCGGCGCTTCCAAAAAGCAGCTCAGAATCCTGAGCAAAGTAATTGTTTCTCGAGAACGAAATGGACACATTTACTGCGACGCTTTTTCCTCACCTATGCAATCCAGTCCCACTGACGAACGAAACGCATTTTGCTGAAGCATTTCACACCTGGCAAGGTCGCAGCTTTGACATATCTCGTTGCCTCCTGACAGAAGGGTTGAAGACAGATTTCTCAGCCTTGTTTCCACATTATTCCGCAATATGGACGCTGCTGTTTTGCACGTGTCTGAAAGTGCCAGGGCTTGCAAGTGCGAGGGCTCAAGGGCTTTCATGGCGGGACGCCGTAAGGTGCCATCCTCTGAGGCGCTAGCTTCCCTACAGTCTCTGGACCCATGGAACACCAAAGCGGTCAACGTGAGCCGTATTGCATGGCGCTTGTGCTAGCCTCCCGCAGTGATTATTTTTGGAAATCCGAGCAATTCCATTTCATTCTCGCAATCAACGTTCTTTTCCGAGACCCCGACTTGAATTTGGCAGCTCCGGGCGAGATTCTGATTTACTTGCTCGCAGCATACGTGGCTTGTCGGGAGCCAAGCTGGAGGGATGTGCTGATAGCATCAAGACCAACACGTGCTACAGACATGGCCCATCCATTTCTTCTTTGACGACACAGCTTCGCCTCCACTACGCCTTGAACATCAATTCCGAGCGTGGCGAACTCCCCAGCAACATCACGGAATGGCGGCTCTGGCGGTCACGGCCATGTTTCGACCTGTTCGGTGGCTCTATAATCTAATTAGAGTTTCTAAAGCCGCCGCCGTGTTTGATGCTTTCTTTTTGGGGTCCCATCAACAAGAGCCGTTTCGCCAATCGCAGAGTGGCTTGGTGGTTTCCTGCTTACTTGCTCTTGGACATCTGCTGCTATCGCAGAAAACGACGAGCGAACACACAGTCAAGCAGGCGTGCTTATCATCTTGTTGCATCGTAAGGGGGGGGGTCCGCTCCAAGGTCTTTTTCTGACCGGTTTCCAGAAAGAATTGTCCTGGAAGTATAGCCTGGGTGAGTCGGGTCCCCAACCAAACCAATAGCTCGCAAAAGTTGCTTGCATCGTCCCTGCACTTGTCAAGCTCTCCTCGAAAAACTTGGTTGATGCATGGGAGCTCCTGACAACTTGGAAAGAGTTCACGAACCCGGCCAGTTGATTACAGTGCTGCTGGAGCTGAGTGAACGCAAGGCCCAGAAGTTGTTGCCAGCGGCGTGCGTTGGAATGACGGCCGCCGGTCGTTCACCACACATGTGAACACCAATCTGCAAACCACAAGCGCCAACTCCAAGATGAACCCGGCCAAGCTGGTGGTGTCCACTGTGCAGCCAGCATTGGTAAGTTGGGGCAAAGTTCTCACACGTTTCCGAGATGGAGCAGGGCTGGAGCTGACGTTCAAAGCCAAGCTTGTTCCAGAATGGAGCGGTGTTGGGAGCATGGAGCAAAGCCATGCGTTGGCCATCTTGGGAGCACGCGGCGCGCTGGACACGAAAGAGATGAATGCCCTGGATGACCAAGCTACTGCCGGCTCAAACACTGAGGATTTTCTGGAGTTGTGCCGGGTGACACAGGTGCGTGCCACGCGGGCACCTTTGCTGACGCTTGCCAATTTGGCGCGGCGTGTGTCAGCGTTGCTAGGCGAGGGTGTCCCGGCCGTAACGCCTGCATTTATGCAAGCGCTCTCTTGCTTTGCTTGTGGCAAGACCTTTAGCCGAGCTCGAGAAGAAGATAGCAACCAGAAGTGGCATGTGTCCAGTCTCGGCCGCAAGCTGCTGAGACTGATGCGCAAGTTTCAGCAGAGTAGCGAGACGGCCACCAAATGCTGCGGTGATGGAAAAGCGCATAATTGAGTGTCCGTACTACGAAAGGTCGAAATTTCCTTTGATTAATGCCAGGTGTTAGGTTGATTCACCCCGAATCCCCGGGGGCTTTACTCTCGAACATGGCATTGACATGGAATTTTCTCCCCGAAGTCGATGAACAACATCGATGCTTTTACCCGGCGTCAAGGAGATGGATGAGATGGGACCCGATGTGTCCTCTTCCCAAAAAAGGGGACTTCCTGCAGGGACATACATGGACTGATTGTAGCTATGTGTTGCTCACATAAGCTACTCAAGTTCGCACCTTACATGAAGGAGACAAGCTTTTTTTTGGGTTATACAGACTTGTCATGCCTTTTTGCTGTTTGGGGTCGAGGCTGGTGTAATGGGACATCAAGGGGTTTTCCACCAAGCCCCCAAAAAGTTAAACTTTTTGCAGGGGGGTCAACAGCAACCAAGCCTGAATGAAAAACGAGGCCTTAGAAGGTAGCCCCAAGAAGCCGCCGAGCTGTCTGGAGGCTCGTGGAAGAACTCATGCAGCGCACTTCATGCGATTTCGGGGTTGCGTCGCTTCGGTGTTGATGTCAGCACAACACGTACTGAAGCTAACCACACGGCAAAGTCCCTGCCCTCAGATCGAATAGAGTAGTTTCCAAGCACCGCAAGCATAAGATCCAGCTACGAAGATTTGCATGTCTAGATCATCTACATCAGGAATGTTGATTCCAATTGGTCCCACAGATCTACATCAGGAATATTGTTTTAAACCATTCCTACAGAAGCCTAGTGGATCATCTGCAACAGAAGGTCTCGCGCGCGAAGCTGCGGCCTTGGTATGGGTTGTGCTTTAATTCATGCACGAAAAGGCATGTTCCATGAAACATACGTGAACAATACATTACAGACTTGACGACTATTGGGTTGGATCTTTAGACTTTAACTTTCTTTTCGGGAAATCAAGTTGGGTTTTCCACTAAACCCTTAAACAGTTAATAACACTTTTTGCAGGGGGGTCGTTCCAGCAACCAAGCAGAATCCAGAAGCTATGGCGAGAGAAACCAAAAAGCGCAGCCATCAACAGCTTCCAAGGGCCAATGGTCGAGTCCGAAAGACCTTTCTACTGGGTGGCCGAACCTTGCCCTCCTCAAAAGGTTACTCACTTCCTGAGTTCCTTTACTTTATTAACTCTTTTTGTGGAAAGACCTTTTTGGTGGTAAATAGCAAGTTTGAACCTTTTCTCGGCCCATCCACTCGTTGGGAAGTGAGTATGGCTACTATTTGTTCCAGATCACCGTCCATTTGCTTCAGCCTCTTTGGGAGCCCTGACCGAGTTTCGAGCGCACTTCGCGCCCCGCCTCGCTCGAGTCAGGCAAGCGGCCCGCAGAATGGCACCGTCAAGGCGTCCGGCACATGAGTTATGGACTGGGCTCTCAAGCCTTGGCTCCCAGCCTTCCGGTTCAACTGAGCGATTGAGTCCGCTCAGTTGGTTTACTGGTTGGGTTTGCATCTAACCCACAAGTTAGGTACGTTTAGCAGGATCTGAGCCCAGAAACCAACCAACATGGTGTGTGTTTGTGTGTTGTTTTGCTCTGAGAAAGAGACCCTATTGGAGTCTTGAAAGGGCCCTCTTGAAAGGGGTACCAAAGGAACCAATTTGAGTCTGAGGGTTACCCTCTTGGAAGTGTCAAGTGTGCTCCCTTTTGGAAGAAGGCCCTTTCAGGTCCTCAAGACTTTCATACTGAGACTTGGTATTTGCTGTTTATCTCTGGGTTTTGCCTTTTTTGGCTGCTCGGGTTTTGGAATGCTCGGTGAAAAGTCAAAAACAAAAAGCAAAAGATCCGGTTGCATCGCCCCCTGGCGGCAAGGGCGTGCCGGAAGAAAGAAGCTGTTGCGAGGCGTGGATGGAGCACCGGGGCATGGGCTTCATTGCGCCCAGTGATGGGAGCCAAGACCTCTTCGTGCATCGAAGCTCTCTTCAAGATGGAGGACGATCCCCGCGTTCGGAGTCCGGGAGTCGGGTTCGTTTCGGCCGCAAAGCGAAAATTATGGAATCCATCAACCTGGTGAAAGAAAGGGGGGGTCGGCGCTTGCACAAATAGCGAAGGGTTCTCTCTCTGGATTGGGACACCGGCTATCAACCAGGGTTGAATCCTGGGTCAACAGCATTACCCGAAGACTGGCACGAAACTAACAGAGGCCCAAAAGAAGCTCTATGGATGCTCAGGTGTCATTCCAATTTCATGCATTTTCACAAAGTCTCGTTGGCTTTCGAAACGGAACAACCCCACAGTGCCCCAATCTTCGTTGACCGTTGACCTTTCAATCTTTGGTACCGACGGGGCATGGGTCTTCCCCAGTCTGGGGCCCAGCACAAAGTTACCATTTACCACTTCCAGCCATACTGTGGATGACCGAAATCCTGCACCATGGGAAACCATTGGTATTTACAGGGCAATCATTATCCCCAGGGTTTCTTAGGTGGTTCAGGATTTCGTCCATCCACGCTATTTCTTGAAAAGGGAGGCCGCTCCTAGCAAGCAGAGCAACGGGCATTCGCTACGTGGGTTCTTCAGGCCGCCAGTCCGCTAACCAGACCCCCGTTTCCTTCTCCGGCCACCAAAAGCCAGGTGTATGAGGGTGATGGGACACAGTGACCAAACATAGGTGAGGATCTCCGCCTATGAATTCTTCAAGGACGGGTTTGGGTAGACTTCTTTGACTCATGAAATGGACTCCACAAAAAATGCAAACACTTGTTAGCTACCCTAAACCTTGGGTGAACAAAACCCACCATTGAAACAATGGTGGTTGGGGGTCAATATGACCATCTTTCTTTACCTAAGAATTGTCCTCCAAATTGGGTCCTTGCCATTCTTCTCATGTGGTACCTTAGGCTAGGTTCCCAGTACTGCCCTTTGACCCTTTGTTTGGGGAGGGTTCCCCTACTAAAATCGGGTACCAACTTGTTCTAACCTCTCTACTGGAGGACCCAGTAAAGGGAGTCGGAATGGAACTCAACGGAGCTATGGGCGCATGTCTCTCAGGAGCTCTGGTGGTCGGCTCTCCGGTGACCTTCACGGCAGAGTTGGCTGCTCGATGCAAAGCGAATCAATGTGTTTTTTTTTCCCGCAGGGTCTTGACCTTTGTGAACCATGAAAGCCAATTTAACGTTGCAGAAGTCAGATGCAATTCACTCTTTCTGGAACCAACGCACATGAACAATAGATAAGTATTATGATATGTTTTCATTATTTCACTGTCATCCTCGTGCTTATCCTTGACCCTTCTGCTGGCCAGTGTCTTGGACCATCATCACTGCCATGGTTGTCCTTGTCGTCATCGTCATCCTTCTGCTGCTCCTCATTATCATCATCCTCCTCGTCCTCGTCCTCGTCCTCCTTCTCCTTTTCCTCCTCCTCATTATCTTGGTCATCATCGTCATCCTCATCCTCATCGTCCTCGTTATCATGATCATCATCGTCGTCATCATCATCATTATCATCATCGTTGTCCTCGTCCTCGTCCTCGTTTTTCTCCTCATCTTGGTCCTCACCATGATGATGAACATCATCATCATCAGCATCATGATCATCATCGTCCTCATCATCATCATCATCATCATCATCATCATCATCATCATCATCATCATCATCATCCTCATCCTCGACATCCTCAACATCCTCGACATCGTCCGCGTCGTCGCCTCGTCCTGATCCTCTGTATATCCTCCTTGTCCTTATTTTCATTCTCATCCTTATCACTAGCTATCCTCATGCAGTTTGCATTGTCATCCCAATCCCCATGAGGATTTATCCCGCATCCTCATCCTTCTTTGCAGCATCCACTTTCTCATTGTCATCCCCATCCATGCACAGGGTGCTTTCACTCAACCCATCAACAGTAAATACTACTGCATACGAAATGTCCTTGTTCATTACAACAAGCCGCCACACAGTTTGTCCAGGGTGTGACATTTCACAGAAACATTGCTGCAAAGAAAGCTCAACCGCAAAGTGACTTCAGCAACCACTGTAGAAGGCTAGGAAAGGCTTTGAGTTTTAGGTTTGTATCCAACATTGCCTTCCAGCAGAAGCTAGTTCGTGTGCATGTTGAATTGCCTTAAACAAAGACATAAAACACAGATCTAAACAATCAGGCAACAGGGGAGAGTTGTGGCTGATGTCAATTGTCCCATGCTGTTGGAACGAGGACCCGCAGAAGGGTAAGCCGATTGCCACGAACGTCTTCGGTGCTGTTCAGCAACAACAGCCGCTCGGCACGTGGCACTTGCACCACTCAGACCTCAATGCCCCTTTGGTCCCTGTTTCGGATGGTGCTTGTCAAGCTCAAAGACCAGGCGCCTTTTTTCCCCGGCCACTGGATCAATCTTTGGTTGTCTCAGGGGCACAGTTGGTATTAGCTTAGCCCACAGCTCGATTTGTTTATATTTACGCCCTCAGGAAAGCTCGGGATTGCAAATTTGTCTCGGGGGGTTCCTCTCTCATCTTCGCCTCAGGCAGTAAATGAACTTTGCCCTGGCCGCGAGCGATCGACGACTCACAGCGCAAAGGGCTTTAGGTAAAAGCGGCGCGAGAAGGAGCGACCGCTTTCTTTTGGGCGACCCTTGGCTGGTTTTTAGTGTGACCCCCCCAAAAAAGCCCTTAGACCTTTTGGCGAAAGGACATGGCTTTTCCTTTACCCAGAAAAGGTTGCGTCGTTTGCTCGGGAAGAGCAACCCAGCCAAATTGGGATCCAACAAACGAGTTCTAGGATGCCACATGATGCGTTCGGAACCGCTTATTGGAACTTGTTGAAGGATCCCTGGTTGCCGGTTGAGGTTTCTGAGCCATTGGCAAACCGGTGAAGTGCCGTTGTCCGTGTTTCGAAGTCCTTGCGGCCGTCGGGCCCGTCGGGCCCAGGCCAACCACCATATCAAATTCGGCTGATCTGATGACTTGTGCTGTCAGGCAAAGCTTGCAGGTTCTTTCCTCCCGACTGATGCTTACCCGAACTGTCTCCCCTATTCTCGTCCCTCTCTCTGGCCCCTAAAGTGGTGGCTGGTCGATGCACATTTCGCCTGACAGCTGCTCGTCTTCCATTTGCTCAAGAATATGTCTTATTTTCCCTCACTACTGGGAATATATTTATTTTTGCTAGGGCGCGAAAACGCACATGGAAGCCTATCAGCAGACGGAGACGCCGCATCGCGAGCGGAAGGGGTTGAGATGTCGAAGAGTTGTTGGGTGCTCCCTGGATCCTCACCTTGCCACTGGGTCGTGACCTGAGGGCCACGCCCATTGGAATGCAGCCAATTGGGCTCCACACCAAGAAGATCCATTCCATGTTCAGGATCGAGTAGCCATCAGTGTCCTTTTGAGGTGCCCAGTGCCGACGAAGCTACTCCGAGCAGAGAAAATCCAACATGGCCTTAGGTTTCTTGAAAGAGAATATGTGGTTGGCCCTTCAACTTTCAGGTGGGAAACCACACAAATCAGAGGCCTTTTCAGCTGGAACACACAAGAATCAGATGGCTTTTCAGGCGGAATGCACCAACTCAGAGGCGCTTTTCGGCCTTATTTCGAGTTCACCAAGTCCGCCATGGGCCGCGGACTTGCGGCGGTCTTCGAGTCCTCCAGCGCCAGCCTTCCGGGCGCCAAGGGCAAGGCAGATCCGCGCCTCGGCTGGCTGAGGCGTGCAGCTTGTACGGTAGTCGCCGTTGGTCAAATCTGGGGTTTTTTGTATTACACCCTGGGAGAAAATCCCTTGGGAAATGACCCATGGTTCAAAATGACACGCTTTTTTTTCCGGAAATGTGCCTACATGGGGGGTCAATACCCAGTGGGTGTATTCCCAGGGTGTAACACAAAAACCCTTAGATCAAACTTGTCCAGCGATTTGCTCGACTGCTAACAACTGGCAAGTTGCAATCTTGCCCAAGATGCGTTGTCGTGTCAACTTGGTCTCGCGTAGGCGTTTTTGTGGGAGTGGTCGCTTTAGGCGCCGGCCGCGTGGGTATTGTGTGAGCAAGAAAATCCTGATAAGGCACCACCCCCCCGGCCAAAAAAGTAAACTGCCCATTTTAGTCACCGAATAGATTCGAGGCTCCCAATTTCTTGCCGGTCTTCCAATTCCAAGCTCAAATTGCAAACTGCGATCACTGGACTGGGAATTCGCGGCAAAAGTGCTTCACCGTTTTGCCCTAAGCGAATCCAGGCCCCCAGAATCTGGCTTACTTGAAACAAAGCTTGCAGGTGCTCAATAGGGAATGTGGGAATGAACCCAGGGTCCCTTTAAAGGAAACCATCAGGGATGGTTTGTACGGGTCATTTGAGCACCAGCAAGCAACAGTATTGAAAGGTGACCTAGGCAGCTCCGCAAAAGGGGGGGCAACTCACGGGATGGTGATTGGTTTTGCCAGGTTCCGCCCAGAACAAATTCACATCGATTCCTCCCATTCTGCCGTTCCCACTTCAAAATGTTACCCCATAACAAATCAAAGACAAATGTGTCCAAGCCTCAAGCCCTCAAGGAGACGCCCACGTCTGTCTTTTGTGAGCTGATTTCAAGATGGCACCAGGGCACCCAGTTCAAACTTCTTTTGGGGATTGAACCCATTTCAATCTTCTTCTGGGGGATTCATGTCCACTTTCGCGCTGGTTCAGCGCGCGGAAATTTCGCGCGCCGCGTCAGGTCGGCAGTGCTCTCCTCCGCGCAAGCGAACTCGGCGGAGGAGTCCCACTCCTTGAAGGAGTCGCCGCCGAACCAGGCGAGCGCCGGCCTCAGCGATCGCGAGAGAGGAGTGCCCAAAAGAGGCGGCGAGCTCATGGGGTTTCAGAATTCGAGCTTTCAACGTGGGGCTGCCAGGGGTCCTCTGGTAATTTGGTATTATTATTTGTTTCTCCCCCTTTTATTCCGCACTATGGAGAAAGGGGACGCTCCAAAACAAGACACACCTTTTTCCTTCTGCCGAAGAACATAA